ATCAAGCCAGCCACGCCCCTTACCCCGCAAAATTTTGACGATTTTTTAAAAATTCAATATTGATTTATTTTCAGATTGGCCACCTGATCTCTGGACTTGACCATGAAAACTAATTAAAAAAAATTTAAAATCCTGAGCTGTAGGAATGCAGTATTTCGTGATCTGTGATCACTTCTTTTCCAATTCAAGTCTATGGGAGCCAGGGCTTTTTGGAGCCATTAAAATGGCCTGCCAAGGTACGGTCCCACAAGAAACGAAGAGCATCACTGAAGTATTTAAAATTTTCACACTGGATAATCCGATGGTCTGCTGGTGCAGCATTTCGTGGCGATCCTTTCAGTAGATATTTCTGTCTTGACCAACTGACCAACCAAGTCACATCCCTGGCATGGCTGTAAAGATAACAGATAAGAGAGGTGGTTTGGAATAAATGACCAGATATGTAAACAAGCTAACAATAGCATGTTGGCATGTTAATATAATGTTTAATACCCAGGTCCAAAGCACAGCTGAGCCTTTAATTGCCTCAAGCTGACAACCGCTGAGGCTGATTGAGTGCTACACTGATGAAATGTAGAGCAAAGCCCGACAAGCTGAGTAGCAGATGTTGAAAATGGCTACTGTATGGAGGATAATGCCAATGCTCACACAGGAGATGTCCCCATGGGTTTCACTTCTCTAGTATTTATTCCATCAGACAGCTGAAGATGTCAGCTTCCAGTGTTACTAATAATAAATCGCCATCAAGTCCTTCGAGTGTTGCTCTTCGGCACTTATCATTCAACCTCATGTCAGACGTATCAGAAGGTTAAGATGCATTTGACTGTGGGGGATCTCGGTGAAGGAACCTGGGAGGGGGGAGCTGTTGGGGAAAAAGATGCTTTGCTGATATGACCCTGACCGGGGTAAGTGACTCGAAAATGGATGGATGGATGGATAATTTCAAAAGGGAGCAGTGGAGTGATGTGTGGCCAAACGGGAGAAACTAGGAGGATGTCACGGCAGTATCATCGTGTGGAACAGGTCAAGTTCAGTCAGTTTTGTTTGTATAGCGCAGTTTACAACATATGCCATCTCACAGCGCTTAGACATGGTACAGACCTTACAAATGACTTATTTATCATATCTAACATTGTTTTTCTCTTTCTCTATGATGTGAATACACAGAAGAGAAGATCAAATAAAAATGAATGGTTATCAAACTAGACAAATATTCTTTGATATTCATGAATTTCCTTTTAAATATACACATAAACATTTGAAGAACAAGCCAGTCTTGATACAGGGCAGCAGATGTAGGACTTAGTGTTGGTTCCCTGACACAGATCTGGGCTACATTCTTTAAAATCCTGCCTGTGTGACCTGCACTTAGTCATTTCCGAGATTCCCCAAAGGTAAACAAGCTTGCTCGGGCTCTTTCCAATGAAGCTGGCCGTTCTCCTGCGTGTATACAACAGCAGCTATCGGTACAAGTCAGGGTAATTGTTGTCCTCAAGCCAAAGACCTCTCCTTGTCCCCGTTTCCTCTGCTGTCATGGAGGGGTCCAGGATGGGGGTGATTAGATAGCGGCAAGCACACACAATGGCTGCTTCTAAACTCTTATCCTTCCCTTGTATGGAATGGAATTCCCACTGGTTTCCAGAGTCAGTGAATTCATATCTTAAACTACACCTGCTTGACGGTGATGGTTAGTAGTTCAGCTGCTCGCCAGAAGAAATCTGTTAATCTTTGCCTTGTCTTTTGACTCAGTGATGGAGAATCAAATAAAAGCAACTCGTAGGAGTAATGTTAGAAGAATGCAGCAGCAGTGATTATTATATACGCAATACAGCAACTTACAAAGTGAATACCAAGCTGACTGAATACATGTTAAAGCATTGAGACCATAAACTCATCAGGAACATGTTGACTTAGGTAACAGACCAAGTGACGGTTAGGATCATCTCCTCATAGACTTCTATAGAGTCAGTCTTCCTTTTTGCAACCAGTGGATCCTGCTGGATGTTAGAAATTTGTTAAGTGACATCTGTGCTGGTTTCACCTTTAAGACTCGGAGTCTACGTCCGTCTTTTATGTACCGTCTATGGTAGAACCAAAGAAGCCAAGTAGCTGCATTGTTTGCTAAGTACCGTCAATTCCAGACTATAAGCCGCTACTTTTTTCACATGCTTTAAACACTGCAGATTTAGCAATGATGCGGCTAATTTATGTTTGTTCAAGAGTTCTACGAATTTGCCTCAAGACGAAAGTGACATTGAGAGCAACAGTGAAAGAGAGACCGATGAAGTGTGTGATGAAGGGATTCTGTTCAATTCCGACACTGAAGAAGACGACTTTAGTGGTTTTAGTGCGCAGGAGGAAGATGAAGATAGCGATCAATGACTTTTCCTGGTAGGCGACTGTGTTTTTTATTTTTTTAACCAGCTTTTTTTAACAGGCACAGTTAATTATGAGTTAAAACAATCTTTCTGTGTAACATATTTCTGTGTAAATATCTCATATTACAACGTGGGCACCTGCTTATATTCAGGTGTGCTCAATAGTACGGAATTTACGGTAATGTATGGCAGTACTGTTATAGCATTGTGTGGCTGAATCCCACCCGAACCCAACTCCAAACCAAAGAAGTCAACGTTTAACCCGGTGCAAATTCAACATTTTATACCAGTGATATCATGCTGGGTGGAAATAACTATTCAAGTTGAACTCCACCCCGTTCTGCAAGCAACAGCCAGGTGCTCCTTGCTTTAATAAATATCTTGGCCAAAAAACTGTAAGGGGTAGTAGTGTTTGGATAAGGGTTCACTTTATATTTAAAACAACAACTGCTGCTTTACACGCTCCAAAGTAGCAAATGTGCATTTCTGTTGCTCTAAACCACATTTAAAAAATATAGATACCGTATATATACTGTGCAAAATAAATCTCATTAGGAGTAAAGTGTAAGAGACAGAACAATAGCCTGGATGTTGCACTTTACGGAGTGTACAACCGTATCAGTACTTTTGAGCCTAAGTGCAGGTGACAGCACCCTAAAGCAGTCTTTCCCTGCTATTTACCAGCCAGTGATGTGCAGCCTCACTTATTTAGGTCACGTAAGAGAGAGACAAGCCACCAGCAGTACAGACAAAGAGAAGCAATGTCTGCTGACACGGAACTACAGGAAGCTAAGTTCTGCTGCCACATGCTGAAAAGGGTCCTGAGAAATCCCGTATGTCAGCTCAGGCTGGTGGACTCGGCAGTGAGCGAGCGGTGCGGGGAGTTGTAATTGGACAAAAAAGGGGGAAACAGAGGAGGCTGCTGCTGGAATGTCTTTAGCTTTGTGCGATCGTACAGTTGGACAGTCATGAATGAACTCTTGAACTCATCCGAGAGCGGCTTTTGAAATGACACGACCAACGCGCTCTTGTGGAGCCGCAGCTTAACAATTAATAGCAGCTGCGCTTTCTATGTTGCCGCTGGACTTCTTTGTTTTAGGGCAGATACTGGAATAAAAGACAATCACAACAGATCGTTAAGACGGTTTTGTGAACAGGTTGGGAATATGGCGCAAATATGTCAAAACAAACTTTACGAAGCTTTGGAGAAGAGTGTAATAAACAATGTCAGAGTCTGCCACTACAGCATGACAGGGGCATCGAGGTGTACAGGTAATAATTATAACTGTGATGATTATAATAATTAATACCCCAACACAACACACTTATAGTTAATTTTCTGTCCAGCTCTCTACTCTTTTGCCAAAAAGAGAGAAAACACAACAAAGGTACAGATGAATTTGACCGAGTTTGTTCAGATTTATTTCAAATATTGTAATAATATTGTGAATTATTTTGTCCACGATAAGAATGAAAATGTGATGTTCTGTGATGTAACACGTCCATATGGATGCATCTCATCTTGCCATGAATAATATTACACCACTAAATATTCCATCAGGACTGCGCTACTTTTGAAATATTAATCAACATCATATAGATTAAGCTCAGCATTTTTGATCCCATAATAGATCCGCTGCGATGTATTTAGAGATTACATGGGCCAGCACTGATTGCGTATTTTATAGTATATTACACAGTTTACATCATGAACTCCAATGAGGTCATTTTTTTAAAGGCATAAAAATGCAACACTTCCAATTGTGGCAGTCTTATTTTAAAAATACGTTTTTTTAAAAGGTCTCTTTTCTCTCCTGCAACATTTCACTGTCAAGTTTTTAACCAGCTGACTAGTCATTTATTATATTTACTGTATACGCTACACTTAAAGTGAGCTGTTTCTCTGACTATTTCTTCTCTTGGTAACCTGTAAATGTTTTGCTCCCAAGGGTTGGATTGCATAATTTGTGTTAATATGGTGTCAGTCCTAATCCCTCATTATCTTAAACTGTATGCTCTTTTCTCAACACAGCAAAAGCGATGAGAATACCATAAAAAAAAAAAAAACCCGAGCTTGTTTGTTGTTTTTGATGGTTACTGTGGGGACTCTGCCAACGTGGCAGATGTTTCTCATTACATCGGCTCACTACGGAGCCACAGAGGTGTCAAATCAGCTGCACAATTCAGTTACACCGTGTTCTTTTGGCAGGCGCGACTTTGACACTGAACTCATAAATATAACATACAGTAAGTGGAACGAATGATATACCGAAAACACAAATGAGTTCGCTTGCATGGTAGTTGATGAAGGTGTGCGAGGCCTTAACTGAACCGTGCAGAAAAACCGTCTGCACTGGCGCTTTTGAAGTGAAATTTTGAGTTGTGCTTTTCATTTACTAGAACGTTTAGCATGGGTGTGGTGCTGACATATAAAGCAGTTGTGTATCTCCATCGTGAATGCAGTGAAATCATTCCTGAAAAACACTCTTCAAACATGGAGCGCTTGTAAATGTTTGCTGCGCTTGAAATTTCAACATACTTGGGCTGGACCAGCGTTAGCACGAAATGCAAAGAAAAAAAACAGAAAATGGGGGAAAAAAAAGAAGAGCAGCTGAGGGCGAGTGCTGTGCTATTCTGTATTAGTATGCAGACACACACAAGATAGCAACATTGTCTGTGAAGTCATAAAAAAAGAGACATAGTATGTAAATATAATATATATATATATATATATATGTTCTTCACATCCAGAGAATAAAACAAAACCATTTACATTCAAACAGCAGTGTGGAGTCAACGTGTCAAGACTACCAAAGTTAGATACAGTACAGTATAAACAAAAACTACAGACATTGTCCTCAATGCTTTTGTCATACTTTACAACATTTTTTACCAAAGTGTCACTGGGGACTTCACAAACCCTTTGGAGAGTCATATGAAAACATTTCACACATAAATACACAACTTAAATGATACACAGGATTTACTACATGTGCCAAAAGCCTCTGGCTTTTCCACAATTCTGAAGAAACGATTGTGGCTCCGTAAATGATTATGATGCGTCACTACACGATAAATGACTTTATGAAGACTTTATAATTCTGTCGTTGTACATTAATCACTTAAAGCAGTGAAAGCCATAAATGTAGGTTGTGTAGTTAATGTTTAAACGGAGAAACTGTCCTGCAGATAATGACGGTGTGTGTGATACTGCAGCCTGATCTCACACAACGTGTTTTAATGCTGTGAATATATTTGCGTGTCTTGAAATGAACCCTTTGTCTTAAATATTGGCTATAAGTGAAAATAACGTTTCTCAAAAAGAGGCCACTTTTCACGTTCCGTGTAGAATCAAGTGCTTTAAGTCGTCACAGTTGCGTTGAAGACTGAACATGGAGACATTCAAATGGTATCAAAGATAAACAAGTAGCCGGCAATATAAATGTCGTTTTAACAATTTGTTGGGAGATGATTTTGTTGGACCATGTATGTTAAAATTAACAGATTATCCACCGTACACTCAGAGATACTGTATCCAGAAGAAAATAAACAATACACATTAAAAAATTGAGGCAAATTGAAGGTACATTTTTGTTTTAAACACTCTGAATCGATACAACATGCCCTGTGGAAGGTTGACTGTGAATCTTCACATCTCAGATCGTTTCTGTGCTTTAAAATACAGTCTAATTAGAAAGTGGCAGAATTTAATAAGGACAAGAAATCAGGGCAGACACATACAGTAGCATGTTGGGAGTTCCCCGTTAGTAACCCCGGCCATCCCTTTAAAAAAAAAAAAAAAAAAAGAAGTAGTGGTTGAATGCTTCTGAGTATAATATACTCATAAATACTGTTCATATAAACCATGCACACACGCACTCACACGTTCAACTTGTCCTCTGCAGAAATGTTAGATTTACAAAAAATATTTACATCAACCGATAGTGACTCATGTTCCCAGCATTATGGACAACGTGTTAAAAAGGCTACAAAAAACGAAGAAACAAACAAAAAAAAAAGAAAAAAACATAAAAGTTCTGGGCTTGAATGAGAGGAAAGTGACCAAAAAAAAAGTGCACTAATAATTGACCAGGTCTGGAACATCCTGATGAGCTAAATGCTTTTTAATTAACATTTTATTATCTGTTTATTTTTTGCCCAGGTTTATGTGAGATGTGAAAATCGCATCATGTACTTCTGATTAAGGCTGTGTACAGACTGACATCACACTACTGCGAAACCGGAGGGCTGTGGCAAATAAAACACTGGGTATTCCTTTACAAAATTCAAATCTAACTTATGCCACAATACAGCAGCATCATGTAGAATGCACTCCTTACCTCAGGCTCAGACAGAAAATAAAAACATTTGTCCCCTTAAGCTGAGCAGTCCGATCCAAATGTAGCACATTTTAAATGAAATTTTCCAAAAAAAAGAACAGAAAAAAGGGTGAATTAATGCATGCATATCCATCCACTACTGTAATGCAACTCGCTGGACTTGGTTCTCTGATAAGAAGGTGGAGGTTCTCTAGTCGAGCATCACTGCAGAAGACGAGGGCACAACGAAATCAAAGCAACTGAGAGAGCGTCAGTCAGACCCTAAACAAACAGATATGATATCAAAAGTGAAACTGACGTACAAAATGTGTCATCTTTCCCATGTGATAATAGAAATATAATATTTTCCTCATTGCTTCACACAGATTTCATGTTTTTGCTCTGCTGCCATTTTTCATCTCTTCAGTGTAACTAAAGTTTAGTGGATGTTTAGGTCATACGCCGGATATACATCTCGATTAAGCCCCCTTTTTTTTTTGCACCTTTATTAATGCACTAACTTTTCCAACCTCAAACTAAAAATGCTGTGCCTGTAACCAACCCTCCATACTGGCCTCCTTTAGTAGTAAGACTATTCTGAAAAACGATCTGCAAAAGCGATCAAGCCGATATGAGTCTTCAGCTGTCACTGAACAAGATGGGTCCTTCCCAAAGTTAAAAACATTTTAGAAAATTGTGTCTTCCCTGAAAAAGCACTGGCTAGCTGGCATGAGGATACTTACTTGATTTGGCGAATTATATTAGCTTTGACTAAATATTGGCACTGAACAAGAACCGTCCCCCATTTCTAACAGTGAGTTGTACTACAGTGGATTAAATGCCTGTACGAACAGAAGGTATTATTACATGTATTGTGTTTAAATGTAGTTGAAGATGTTAAGCAATAGTAAACATTTAACATTCAGATAGCAGCAAACGACTATCTGCTGTGTCAAGATATAGTGGAGCGATGGCGTCAGCAGAGAGTGAAGGTTCACGCCCTCCGTGTGTGTTGTCATCTAAGTTCTCCATTTTGACCATCGGTCAAGCTGCACATGCAAGTGAGTCCCTCCCTTTGAAACTGTCGGCCCACCAGGCTGACAGTGACCTCCCTCACTGGATTGGAAAAGCAAAGAACGGTCAAGCGTGTAGCCGCGCCCTTACTCAAGGTGATACCCGCTGGCTTTCAATGCATGTTACAGCTCATGATTGTGGCCGGAGTAGTTTTTGTCGTGTTCACAATCAAAGTGATCGGTGCCTGTTTGTTTTGGTCTGAGACGCTGGTGCTCTCGTGACACATAATGGTTCTGAAGAGGTTGCAGACAGAACCTTCAAACGGATGCACACATGACTGATTCCATGGACTACACCTCATCTATGAAACAACACTCGGCCCTCGCTCACACAAAGCTCTGCATTTTGTAACACTGTGCTGTTTTAGATCTGAACACCTAACATCTCTGTGTATCTAATGAAGGGTACAGGTTGGGTAAAGACAGCAGTGAAAGGGAATGTGATGCGTTTATGTTCAACATAGCCGGGTCTTTAAACTGTTACATTCAAGTGTACTGAGCAGATACTGGAGTACGTATAATATCATGATGGCTTCTCTGTGGTCATAACAAGTTACATTACAAGCTACCATTAACAGATGCACATGTCGGTAAGGATCACTTGAACATGCTCAAACGTCAGCATGACAAAATCTCTACATGTCTAGGTGTGAAGCTAAGGATGTGACTGTAAATAAACTATGCTAGCATAAACACGGAAACAAACGAGAAAAGCTCAGAAAGCTTATGTGTCGCTGGAACAAGTCATATCAGTATTTAAATGACTAACTTCGAAGAAACTGTAGCATGTCAACGCTAATAAATACTGCACGGTATTTATTCTGTTTTCATTTAATAAACACGAATATGATTAGATAAATTAAGTTTAACATATGAAAGATATAATATATAGCTGTAATATATTATTATGCACCTGTTGGACATCCTATCTCTGTTCCGACTCTTTGTTGAAAATAAAAACTAAATGAGGCAGGCAATATTTTCTTGGTTTGGCACTAACCGTGTCAAAAGAATTTACAGTGTAACCAAAGGCTTTTTGTGCACGACGTGACCCCCAAACAGAATAATCAGGCAGTCAGTATTTATCCATTTAAAAATGATTTTTGTCAGGCAGACAGTATTGTGATTATCAGAATGCGTCTTCGTCCAAGTGGAGCAGTTCTGTGGCAAATTGTAGACAAAAACACAGCGCGGGGTTTAGCTGTATCACTTTATAGTCCTGTTAAAGGGCCCGTGTTGGTTGTGATGGAGGTGCCGTCATTTCCTCGGGTGTGCGAGAGCCGTTGGGTGTGCAGTCCTTTTCCTCACTCACATCTTCTGACATTGTATCTACAGGAAGAGGCAGGTTTCCCCGGAGCTCCAAGCATGCTGCGGGTTTTAAGGGTGGTGGTGGGACGGGTAGAGTTCGAGGGGAGTGTCGGTGTCAGGCGAAGGGGCTGTCTGACTTTAAGATGGAGGCGTCTGCGTCATGGCAGCCCTTGCCGTTCATGTGTTCTGTGTGACCGTCGATGCTGTAGCAGCCCTGCACCTCGGTGATGGAGGAAGCTGTGTAGGAGGCTGAGCGCAGGGCGTCCGAGTGGTTTCCTACGCTGCTGCCGAACTGGATTTGATACTGGTTCCAGTGTCGCCTTAGAACTGCTTGAACCTAATCAGAGGAAAGACAGTTTGCATGTTAACGGGGCTGCAAAGGAATCATTGTGATCTTCTCCTGTGACTCCTGGAAAGACATTGGATGTGTTTCCGAAAATATTACCCTTCTTTAAACTGTATCAAATCTTTTATCAAGCTTTTGGACTTCTCGTGGTCTCTTTAAATTCTCTCTAAAACGCTTCGTGATCAAGGATCTGTACACATCCATTTCCTGAGCCGCTGTTCCTGTTGTTAAGACGTAATGATGTCACCGTGTCTTTGAGCCCATAATGAGCTCGGAATCAGGACACACTTTGGCAGCAAATTATATCAGATAGCCGTAAATGCTTCACTATGTGCTAGCTTCCTTTATTCCCGGATCAAAGGGGAGTTATTAAGCGGATCTTGTAAGGCATTCACTTCAAGCAAAAACAAGCTGCGCAGATCAATCACCTGCCTAATCAGTTTACAACCCGTGGCTGTTTGCCAAACAGAATAGTCCTCCGTGAGAAGATGTTGTCTGGGCTGATCACAAAGAGGAAGTATGAAATAGAGCGCGTATGTGTGCATGCATGTCTGAAAGGCATAACAAAAAGGGCATAACCCCGTCTTACTTCTCCATTGAAAAAGCAGAAGATGGTGGCCACAAGTAGACCCTGGAATGGAAAAGGAAACCAAAGTTAAATGACACATATGAGGGAATGGTCTTAAGCAAGCTGTTTGTAGACAACATCTGTAGGGCCAAAGTGCTACGAAGGGGAGAAGCTGAGAGGTCAAACTGAACGCATTTTGAGCTTCAGCCTGTTGCTCAAGACATTTTCTCTGCACTGCCCACGCTGGGCCAGCTCAGGATGATCAGATAACACCTCGTCAACATCCAGCTCATTTCAGCCCCTTTCAGCCCGGATAATTCATGCCTTCCTTCCTGCTGTTCTTTGCCCGGCCTACAACATAAACACCATCCGAGGCTGATGGGAATGTTTGGCTTTTGCTAAAAGCTACAAAAATAAGAAGGTTAAAGTCGATGCAAGGGGTCGCTTTTGTAAAAATAAATGCCACCAAGTTTCATGATGAATTATACACATGTAACAAAGACAACAGGACTTAGCAGCGCATGCGACAGGCAGTAACCTTTGAATACCATTCTAAAAATACACAAGCATTTACACGACATGCCAGTGGAAATGTTTTAGGAAGATGATCACTCAGTAGCATCTCGACCGGACAAAACACCGCTGTCACGCTGACCGCCGTCTCACCTGGTAGTGCATGAGTATGTGCATGATGTAGTCGTATATTTCTGAGGAAACCCGTCCCTCCGGCTTGTAGGGAAGCAGGACGTACTGAATTCCCAGGAGAGGCACCAGGATGAGGGTGGCTCTCACTGCTTTCATGTAGAGACTCGACTCCGCTTGATGGGTCACCTTCAGCTTGGTGATGAGGACTCGCACGATGTTTAGCAGAAAGAACAAATTGACCTAACGGGAGAGGACGTCAGTCAGTCAGTATTACAAGTATTCAAGGTATAAAGAACAGAATGGGGTTTAGTATTTGGACAATAATTACTGCCACCTAATCTGGAACCCTTGATCCTAATTTTATGTAAGTTTTCAATGTGACTGATTCAAGTTTTAATTCATTTAAATTATGAAAATGACAACGAAATGTCACTTTTATGCCATTTGTTTGAGTGTGTCATATTTATTTAGAAGATAAGGCATTGGCTTGTTCAATTCCCTCTTTTTTTTTCTTATGTCTGTTCGCTCTGATGACACTGATACACTTTTTAAGTTAATTGCCCCATAATTCAGTTCTTCAACTCCAAGTCCATGATTACCGAAATACTAGCAAAACCTTTTCTTTGGGGCTTGAAACCTGTGCAAGACATTGTAAAGGCTGTCTGAGGCTGAACATTTAGTGCTGCGAGAGCCCTAAGGGACCAGTTTTCTGTGAAGCATGCCCCACTGTGCTGATTAGGTGAATTCCTAGAAAACAACACAGGCCTGGGGACCAGTGGGTGGATCCTCAGAGGGGCAGATGCATTGATTTCACAAGACAAACACAATTATGCATGCTACGAAGCTGTGTCCTGCTTACAGGCCCCCCCGCAGAGCGCACTCGGAAGAGGACAAAAGCAGCTTATTGTGCTCATTGTGCAATAAAAACAGTGCACCAAGAGAAACATGGAACAAATCAGTGGGTTTATTTTAGCAAATAGACATGTTAAGATTAACTTCATTGTTGCTGATTGGTATCAGGAAACAAGAGTGAGCCGTCTTACCAGGAGAGCTGCGCAGATGGGCCCGTGGATGATGTAGAGTAGCGACGTTTTGGAGCTGATCCAACAGCTACAATGGAGAAGGAAAAGGTTGACACAACAGTATTAATGCGTCGCATGACAGCTGACCCATCATGCAGAGAAATTAATTCGCAATTTGCAACAGTTCAGTGGAGAGAAGCTATAAGGGAGATTTAATGCTTTGTTGAACTGTGCAAGATGCAAATAAACAAGCAGCGCATAACGTTGGACTCCATGAACCATATTTACACAGTATATTCGTCTTATCTGCTTTTCAGTATCACAGCTACGGATAGATTGTAGCGTTTCCTTACTTGTCGTTGTAGTAGTAACTCCGAGCAATGGCGTGTATGGACGCTGGAATGAGAGGAAAGCCTGCAAAAAAAAATTAAGCCAGTTAAACAAAAGATGGCAGCTATAAATGGGTTCATTTCGTTATTCGTCATACGTACCCCAGCCGAGGAGATAATACCACATGAGGTGCTGCTTCTCCGCGAACACGGCCACCACGATGAGAGTGTGCAGATATATTCCCTCACACAGCATCCAGAAGTAATTACAGCCAAACAGGTACAGATGAATAAACTGGGACACTTTGCAGCTTGTCTGGGGAAGAAAAACATGCACATAATAAATGTGGAGGCAGGCTGTACCCAACAGTACAATACTAGAGCAGCATCTTCACTGATGTGCTCTTTATTCCTCTGAACCAAAAAACCTGCCAGTGGGTTTAAAAAAAAATATAACATGTTCTCTTTAGAAAAAAAGATGACCAAAATTGCACCATTTATCAGAGCCACAGACTGTAAAAACTGAAAGAAACATTGGATTTCCATTTGGTTGTCCAGCTACTACTTCTACTAATCATTTGTGATGTGCTCTTAAACACATTTTAAAAAGTAATGACTAAAATTTCCGGTACATGCTTAGTAATTTCCCCAGTGTTGGTGACACATGTGGGAAAAATGTTGTACACGTTGAACGCAGCTGTTTTATTTTTTTTTTTAGGATTTACAGCATTATAACGTCGTCATACTGCACAGAAGACATTTTTAAGTTCTCTAGACGGGTTTAGAAGCTGCTTGGGGCTCATAGGGTTAAAATACTTCCACTAAAGAATTGAGCAAATGAAATAAAGCGAAATCTGTGATAGGATTTTAAAAAAACGAATTAAAATGAATGACAGCAGATCAGACTCACTGGATTCCGCTGCACCAGTTCCTGGTTGTTTGCCACTGCAGTCAGAAAAATGATGGTGATCACAGAGTTGAGAACAAAAGAGAAGAAGAGGTTTTTGTGAAGCGTGATCCTTTGGCAGCTCAAACTCCTGCGAGGAGAGAAAGGTGACGTTACATCACAGCGCTGCTAATCCAGAATAAGAAACGTCTCTCTGTGAAGCGAGATAAGGGACGCTGACTCACTTGAAATGGAAGAATATTCCGAGGGAGATGAAGAGGGAGGTCAGTGACAGCCCATGTCCGATGAGGGCTAAGTAGAAGAGATTCATTGCGGTCTGGAAGGAAACAAGAGACAGGAATTAGATTATGTGGTCTGGTGTGATTATCCGTCTCCTAATGATTGCTCATGTAGTAAGACAACGTATCATTATAGCATCAACATTCAGCTTAATGTTTCCACTAAAATGCTCTCAATGTGGTTCTTTCCATTTGCTGTGGATAATTATAATCTCCAGAGGACCAATGCTATTACTGTAATTGTACATTTTAGCACCGCTACAGAATCATTTAATACATTTCAGCCAAAGCAAGCATGACATTTTCCCTTAGATACACTTTTTAGTGGAGCGTATTTATGAGAGTTTACTGTCAACCCGACTGCAGCCCATCACACTGTGGTTTTAGGGCTAAATAACCACAACCCCCGATCCCACCCAGAAATGAGACATCCTACACTAAGCAGCAGTGCACATAACAGATGTGTAGGGCCAAGGGGCGGAACTAGGATTGACATGCACATTAGTGACCTTTTACTATCTTCTTGTAAATACACAGTAACTGGCCAGACTTGTACTAAAAGTGCAACAGCGCTAATCGTGATTCATTTGTTTAAATATGTGTAAGCATTAACGCCATTTTACGACATGTGACCTACCACTCTGCCTTCATTGGTGTGCTCGTTGCAGCGGGTGTAGTTGGTCCATGTCCTATTGCTCTCAGGATGCAGAAACCAATGACCGCTATCAGTGCAAATCTTTGTGACCATCTCTGTAGGGAAACAAAGGAAGACGATCAGCACAACATGCAAGCTACTAAAACTTTCAGAATATGAAAACCCTTGAAGCGCTATATCCTGATTCTTTGATTGCTTCTTGGCATTCATACATTAAAACCATTGACAGCAGCAGCCTCCCTCACCAGGACAATGTACCTCATCACACCAGGGAAACTGCTCACCTAAGAAACCCTACAAGGAGCCCCAGGTGTTGACCTGATCTCCAAACTCCCCAAATCCCAATCTAATCGATCATCCACAGTCCAACATACCCCAGAGCCATGCATCACAGGACACCCCCAGAGGTCCATTGCCCCAATCGGTCAGAACACTATTGGCATCACTAAGAAGACCTTTGCAATGTTCGGCAGGTGGTTTTAAGGTAACGGAGGTAGAAGGTAAATGGCTCCGTGGTTTTTGAAAAAAAGGTGAATGGTTGTTACACAAAGCTCCACCAAGTTAAAAACATTAAAGAAATAAACACAATGATACACGAAACAAACTGAAAACAGCCATCAAAGATTGCACTCTATCATACAACTGACTATCCTGTTGAGGGATGTGCTCCGCTAAAAATTTGCATCAGAATCCGTGAGAAATGCTGTAATGCATTTACACCACTGCACACATGGAAGCACATTGTCCTGAAAAGCTTGCATCATAAACACAAAGAGCTTTACTCTGTCATTTTTCGGGCGCTTTAAAGATTATAAATGCTCCTGTCTATCCTCTCACAAGCACGAACCCCTAAGCTTTTATGGCTGTTTGTTGTAATTGGTTTGTATGTTGTGCCTGAGCTCAGGGCCCGGTCCTCGCCCAGCTAAATGAAAGGGGATTTTTATTAGGTTAGTTTATTTGTCACGGGGAGTACCACTCAACCTGTGAGTTTAGTTTTATAATGCCTTCTGTGGTTCTTTAACCTTGATGATACCAGATGATCTCAGTTTGTGTTCGGCCAAGCTGAGGTTTTCTGAGGCAAAAGCTTGCGAACTATACGTGAGGATTTGACCCACATTTGGGGCTAAAATTCAGGATATCGCTTCAATTCTGTCAAACTTTTGCAACTGGACCAAGTGTGTTTGGCAACTACTAGATGCAAAGCTCACCCGAAGGATCAAAATCCTGGAAGTAGTCCGGGCAGTGCTGCTCGGATATAACCCCAGCCCTGGTGTCATCCCAGCACAGCCAGCCATCCCAGGTTCGGTTACACATGGGCTCTGAAACCGAAGAGAAATGTTCGAGCCAAATGATTCAGTCAGTCTTTAAAGTCAGGATGATGCAAAAGAGAAGAGTCAGTGTTCAGTGTTTCCGCACTGTTATTTTAATCGCTTCAGTTCTTTCTAGCAGAACACTTGAGTATCAGACATTTTGTTCTTTACATTGTGACTCCAACAGTCACTACATACTTATTCTACGAGTTCTGAAATGTCAGAAAATCTTTACTTGATTTCACTTCAAAAACTTTCCAACTAAAATTTTGCTTTTTGCTCAGAACAGAAAACGTCTGGTAGAATCTTCCCAATTGTGTCTGAAGCTTATTTCCTGTGCTTTCAAGACTGGTACAGAAGGTTCAGAAAGATGAAACATCGCTGCTACCTTGTCTGCTGTGGATATTGTCCTTCATTATCTTTTGATAGCACTCAAACTGTGCCGTAACTATCTTGTTCCTTGTGAGTCCCATGTCGTGGTAGACATTGGTTGGATGTTGCTGATGGGTTTCGTTCACCCCCATGCTTGCCTTCACCAAAAACTGCAAGAAAGGAAAGACAAGGTGTATAAATCTTTTCAGTCAGGCAATAATATTCCTGAGACATCCTGGAAAAAGTAAATGATGCATTGGACAGGTTATAGTGTTTAATACGGTCTCTGTGGTAGCTGAAGAAGACGTTTAAAGACCTTAAACCCTAAACTTATTTTTAAAAAAAGAAAACTTTGATTTAATTTTTTTTTTTTTTTTTTAATATTTGGGGTTTTACTATTCTACTCCTGTTACATTTTATTAAAGGGCGAGAAAACCAAACATGAGTAATAACACAAGTATCCCAAGTCAGTGTTCTGTCTGAGCCCATTTTTGGTTGAGGAATGTGGATTCAGTGAGGAAATATTCGGGTAAAATAGTCATCATATCCTACCTAATGCTGGAAAAGGGAATTTGACATACGCAAGGTTTCATGGAAAATATGACATCTATGCAGAAAAGTTGCCAACCAGACATCGAGCAGCAGATACTAAACCGAAGCAGCTTTTTCTTCCTTTAAAGAGCAACATGTGGGTTGAATTTTTTTTTTCTTACAAAACATATGTGGGTAAGGGATGATCATTTGAAAAGCTGAGGCATTTTTTTTTAAACATGGTTTACACAAGTAAAGGGAAGAAATTCAGATGAAACACTGCTCTTATATTCATTCATGTGTCACACTGTGGAAGCGCTTTGTGCAATAGTAGGTGGTAGCGAGTCTGAGCTTGTGGAATTTGTCAAGTTGGTCTTTCTTTGGTAGTTTTTCCATTGGATTTCCTGATTTTTCAACACCGTGCATTGTTGTGCGCCATGAAGGCACTTTATGTTAGACAAGTGACACGTGACTGAGCAGCTGATCCTCACAGATTACTTTTATTAAGTATCATTACACCAGTATTTCCCAATGCATGATAGCTAACTTTACAGTACTGTGATGTGAGGGCAGCATTAGCAGTTCTCTACTGGTTGTTCTTGCATCACAAATTCATTTCTTTATGATGGACATAATATCCCCAAATCCTTGTGAGTAATCGGGATTTCCAAGAGCCAAAACTACTGTTAGGGTCCATATTTCTCATTGATAAGCTGGACCTTTTGTGACATCCTCACTACATATTTTTTTCCCGACACATTATTTCATGTAGGTCACCGACCTGCAAGTTGCTTTTTGAAACAATAAAATGTTAAATCAAGCAATAACCAAATAGTAGAGGCAGCATTTGTGATGTTTCGATACTGTACACTGGCAAGAATAAATGTGCTTTCTAAGTTTTCTCTTGCAGACACAACAAAGTTTCATGTAATACATCCACACATGAAAGAACAGTTTATCTCGTGCATATGTGTGTGTGTGGACTGTCCTACCGTTGTTAGATTACACAGCAGTAAAAGCGCCACCATCCAACTCTGTCCAAAGCCATCCAGCTTCCCCTCAGCCATGTCAGAGCTGGATGAAGATCTACCAGCTGCAGATCTGGAAGAAGAAGAAGGAGAATAAACAATTAAGTACAGCCATCATTGGAGAAATAAAATCTGCTTACACAGGCCACGTCACACACTCCTTATCTCTCCATGTCGGTAGATGTTTTGAACTACTGTATTTGCTGTGACTGTTAGTTCAGCTGGCAAGAAGAACCACTGAAACCTCGGCTGAACAGCATACATGTAATGATTTATCTGCAACACACCCACAGATTTTTGGCTCAACCGAACTAACAGGTGCATGTCGACATTTGAACTACAAGAAAATGCAGGGTAGAAAAACTGATAACCATTAGCATCCCTAATGTGCAAATATTGACAGTAAAGTGAGGAATAAAGTGGCCTTTATTGGGACATGTGGTTCCAAGGCCATTCTGGGCTATTTTGATTCTCTATTTGTTAGCTGTTTTTGGACCGTTCTTATTTCTCGAATCCAAAACTATGACGTCAGCGATTCTTGGCCTCGACGACCTACATGTTCAAAATACTTTTAACGTGAGAGACCAGAAACTGTTGATTGTGTCACCGGAAACTTTCTCCAAAGTAGCAAGAACAGGCAGCATGCATGGCATGATCTGATCTGTTGTAATCCTGACTCTTACTGTAATCATCCCAACAATCCTCATGTACCATACGACTGTCCATTTACAGACAACATAGCATGCCATCGCTCTACATGTTACGTCAGTTTGGACTTAATGCTCCCACGATGTAACGTTTCAACTGTGTGATCCAAAAACGACACAGCTGAAAAAATAAGCAGCTGGAATCACCCCAGCAAAACTGCATCAACCCCCAGGATATTCCACTTCCCTGCAGAAGTCCTGTCCAGCTACGCTTAGACTTATATTCTTTCTGCTGCTGTGCACTCTAGAAATTTTTAACTATGTTCAACTGACAAACTTTTAATTGAGTGGTGGGAATCGGTCCCTTGAATGACTTTTTAGAGTGTGTGTTTTGGAAGCCACATCCCCTTGCACCCCGTCGTAAATTCTGAAACGTGACAGCAGTTGTAAACGAGTTAGTGGCTGTGTTACACATTTTACTTTTAAAGGTGATGCTTCCGAGTCATCAAAGCAGAATCCCAGAGGGTTGCTTAGAGCAAAGCTGGCAGGCCACTGGGAATTTCATGTCAGGCTGCTGCATCGCAGATGAGACAAAATTCAAATGGAAACATCTCCCTGAGGTTATACAAATTTGCCTTGCAAAGTGATGGTTTTACTGATGCTCAGGTGGCTTTGGATAGTTAAAACAGCTAATGTTCAACTAACCCATCGCTCTAGCTGCTTTTGCATCTGTTATTTTTCGCATCCTGTTCATGAGTTTTCTCCCAGCACCCACAGTAACCAGAAACAGGTTGTTAGCATTGTTAGAATACCTGCTATGAAGGATTAGACTAGGCTGTTGTGGCTTTCAGTGTGAAACTACAAGCATTTTTATTGCTTGCAGCCGAGGAACAAAAAGACACAGAATGGATGCGACAGAGAGAGAACCTGAACCCAGAATGAGGTTTAGGGCATGCAGGAGTGGATTACATCTCATTCACAAGTGAAATTTAATAACGTCTTTTATACCTCAGGAACTAGGTCATCACTTATAGTTGCAGCATCTAAAGTCTAATTAAATTTGGTGGAATGAAACGGCTAAAACAACACTGGAACAGGGAAATGTGAAGAAAAGGTGAACTTTTACGAAGCAGGGCATGTCACTGTAAACACACACATTTTAATTTTCTATCACTGATGATGAAATGTAATTTGTACAGCCTGTGACCGCTCAGAATGTGAGTCTGCTAACAGAAACTGTTTGAGTTGGAAATGCAAACAGAAGTGGAAGTGATGCTGCAGTGTTTCCCTCCACAGTCAGACACTGTTGTAAGACGCTGTCGACAAAGTACCTGTTCTCTGGTCAATGTCACCCTTTTTGCAGCGACAATATTTCAGTACAACAGAGCTTGCTTTTTTATTTTTTTTTGCAACCAAATCTTCCCTTTCAATGATTATGTCCTGCTCATTTTGCTGTCCTCGTGTGGAGTTATGGGAAAGTTATGAACTATCTGATAGACCTTTCTGGTAGATTAGTCATGGAAAATGAGTGTGTGTGCAAGTTTCAAGCAGCAAAACAGTTCAAACCTGATGTTCATTTGCCTTCCTTCACATTGCACTACCTGCGATGTGACTGTTGCACATGTGTACATCGCGATGTTGCATCAGTAGTAAACCTAGAAAGCTGCTGCTCTTCTAAACAGGAAAAATGTCTATATATAGGCTCATGTGCTTCCTGAAATCTGGGAACCTCTTTTAAAACAGATACTCATCTGATTTAAAACTTGTTTTAAATTGAAAATAAACAGCACACCAAATACTACATATTAACACAGTTTTGTTGCTACAAATTATGAAAATGTTGCAGCTTCAACTCTGCAAAAAGCTTGAATATTCGCTGTTTTGTTCGCAAAACACTGAGAAAAATTCGCTACAGTCTAAGAACGTGTTAAAAAATAAATGAAGTGACAAAGCAGGGGGCCATCCGTCAGTACATCAGAGAGGGATTTGACCCACTTAACTCTCCCAGGTCTCCTGAAGTCTGCTCAGAGTTAAAGCAGCATTACACTGGGGAGAGGAAGGGAGGAGGAGGGGCTTACTGAAACTGGGATTGTAAAACATTATGGTGATGTGCAAATTAGAAACAGCCAGGAAAAGATCAGCTGCTCTGTCACACATGCATGCATGCAAACACGCAAACATGCACATGCACACACTCGCACACGGCTACACACACACTGCGCTGGGCCTTGCCAAGTTCCCCAGCTGTTTCTTGGCAAGGGTTGTTTTTCATACATTAGCAGTGATACAGAGGATGTATCTTGTCAGATGGCAACACAGAACAGACGTCAAAGAATGCTTTCCCAATAGTTGCTTGTGGCTACAGCGATTGTGGTTTGTTTCTCGTTTTCCCTTTCTTAGGCCGGAGCTTGTTTAAAGTGGAGAAACAATACCATTTAACTAATCTTAAAGGTGGTAGTAAAGAAAAAGCCCTGACCCCTCCCTTCTAAATGGAATCAATTTGTCATGGTGGGAATTTCCCGCATGACACTTTGTTCAGTTTCACCATAAATACCTTGTTTATGATGGAAAGCAAAAAAAAAAAAAAAATACACATGCTTTAGCTTCACAGTGATTAGGGTTAAGTATTGAAGACGCACGATCAGCTCCAGCCAGGCTCTGTTTGAATGATAAAACCTCGGGTAATGAATGCCATGGAGGGATGAGGAGCGCTCGGACTTAAATACCTTATGTCGTTTTCAATTAACTCAGAAGCCGTGCTTCAAATAGCCTTTCCTTTTTCAAACCAAATGATGCCGAGGGAATGAGGTTTTCATTCTGTGTGTCCCAAACCAACCCTTTTGTGTAGCATGCAACTAATTCAAAACAGCAATTTATACTAAAAGGCAATATTTGTTTCAAATGCAGGAAGCAGTGAGATGAGCCAGTATAACCAGTTCACAGTTCATCTGCCCGTACAGATGGAGCATGTGATTCTAATGTAATGACATGAAAAGGAGGCGAGCTGAGCAAAAGAAACTAGCAGAATCACAGATTTTACCTTTAAAGCTGCATTAAAACATCACCTACTTGACTGTTTCCACGATGGATGCTAATGTTTTATTGAACAACTGCCTGCTGCAAAATATGCAACATATCTTTCACAATGTAGTGAAAATCATAAATACAAAACCACTGCAACTAAAAAATACAGAGTTAAGAGAAGAAGTCCTGTCCTCCAATGTATGACATTGGTAGCCAGGCTTTGTATTTCACCGCTGTACAGCTATAATGCACTAAAGCTGTCTTCAATTACTTTGGAGGCCTTGGGTATCTTCAGACTTTTGGTGGTGAGCGCTGTTTAACACGTCAGTCCCAAATTGCCCATGTGTAGAGCTGTTACGATCATGCTATTGAAGATATCGCAACAGAAATGTTTGAATATAGGATAAAGAAGAAATCAGCAGTGACTTCTCCCTCTGAGGAGACAAGTGGACCCAAAACCACGTCAGCTAAATGCCCTTCACAGCACGATGGAGCTACTGGAAATGTTCTGATTTTTGCTTTAATTTGTCACCTGTCTGCATCTGTTATCAGAAAAATAGAGATAAAGTTACAAAAGGTGGCTCCAGTGGCTGCTGAAATCCATCACCAATGAGAAGGTATCTTTTGCTTTTACTGATTGCAGCTTCCTGAAAGCAAAACCCTGAAATCCTGAGTGAAAGTCATTCTGCTGCTGTTCCCTGTCTGAAGTCAGATTTGTGTATCTCAGTTAGCATGTGATGCAAAACCTCGTCCTTCATCTAGTAGCTAAACAAGCAAACACACAGATAACAGGTGAATAAACCATCCACACGACCCTGTAAACAACAAACCGAACATCCTATGCTTTATGAATATTTTCTAAGCTGAGAGAGCAACCTCCACAGAAGCACGACACTTGATTATTGATCTGTTTGGGTCAACTTAATCCAACCACAGACCAGCGCAAACTGTGGGTGGTCCACTATTATCTGTAGTACCTCAGAGTGTTTTCACTGAAGTGGTTAGTCATGTACACTTTGCACAAAGGCTGACATCACCTATTACATCTGCCAGCGTGCCGAGAGTTACCCAGAAAAACAGCCTGTGCATAACATCTGCCGTCTTCTCACCCGGTGCCAGAGTCCAGGCTGTACTTATCAACTCCCACTGTCTCTGCAGAGATGTTGTGTTGCGCTGTAAACATCCTTTTGCACTCACAGGATGTTCGGCGCCCCGCACTCTTAAGTTCCACCGAGTTCCGCCTCGTGGCATTCGGATGTCCATTAGACTGGTGAGGGACTATAACTTCATTACTGCCTCATTAAATCTATAGCAGGATACAGGCTTAACTGGAGATGAGGGGGCAGCCATGAGAATTGATTAAGCCTCCGCTCGAAGGAACACGAACAATCAATACATGATCTGCTGTTTTTGCTTCACGTCTC